AAAAAAAAAAAGAGAGAGAGAAAAAGCATCATTCATTCTTTGAAGACATGACATTATCAAGGTACCACGGAATGGTCACAAGGATTTCAAGGCTTCGGTGTGCAGGGACAGTAAGACACAGCAAGGCTTCCAGAAGATGCTTGAAAGTGCATGCCCATGCTTTGGGAAAAGTAAATGTAGCAATGTAGGACAATGTTGAAAAACAAAGTGTCCAAGCCTCATGTTTAAAAACAAACAAAACCAACTCTTGGAAGCTTCTCCATGTAAAAAGGAAGCAGTTGTCTTGAGATCAAAAAAAAAAAAAAAAAAAAGAAGTCTTAAAGCCTACAAGATAGGAAAGAAATAAATGCCTCAGACAAAGTAGTTGCAACAGCCTGTAACAACAGCTGCTGACTGTGGTTCTTGTTTTCTGGGCATCTGTGAATTATTTTGAGGAGAACTAAGAAAAATAAACATATAGTCAAAGGCTTAAATTCACTATGCAGCCATCTGGCCATTCAGTTATCAAATTTCAGGGATCTACAAACCTGAAAAGGTCTAAATAGGGCCAAAGGCTTTTCTTGGGATAAGGGCACCCAAAAAAACCCCAGACCAAAAACTTTCCAAAAGTATTCCCACTGCTAATAAAGCAGAAATACTTCCACCCAATGACTATCCAAGCCAGTGATGAAACTACAGTGTCATTTAAAGAGACACTGTTGGAGAGAGGACCATCTACCACTAATTAATGGGCACAGACACAACTAGACAGGCAAAGGAAGGGAGAAGGTAGATCAGCATGCAGGAAAAAAGCTGAAAATCTATACTAGCTCCAGCATAGACATTTTTTTTTTTTCAGGAAGCTGAGAGTCAGGGAAGAACTCCCCAGGGGTGCAGGCCTGAACGCACATTCTCACCCAAAACTGCAACAGCTACTATATAGCCACACACCTCACTGCATAAAACCAAAAAAGCTTGTATGCACTTAGCACACTTGTAAATGACAAAAGAAGATGGGAAACTTGATATATTTTATGGGAATTCCCAACATTAGTTAGTAGTTCTTCCTTTAAAGAAAATTTCTACAAATTTTTCTAAAAGCAGAATTTTTAAATGCTGGTTATTTTTATTTAAAAAATGAAACATATCAGCAGTTTATATTGACTATATACCCTCAGAAGTATCTATCTGAAGATGTTAAGATTCAGGGCTTGGAATAACAGAGGTTCACATGCTAAAGGTGAGCACAGTTTAGACCATAATTCGCTGCGGACAGGGAAGACAAAGATCCAGTTCTCAGTTCCAGGCATCTGGGAAGAAACAAATGCATGGCTTGAAGCACAGCAATAACACTTGCAGCTTCTGCTTCTCCTTGAATACACTCTCCTTCCCATTACGCTCCCACACACCAGTGCCACAAGCCTCAACTTCAAAGATCAGCCCTGCACAGTCTATCATTGCAATTAATGTGCCCAACAAGCATCACTGCAAAAAAATTGTAAAAACATGCAAACTTCTTGCTGCTATCAGACCAGACTCAGATCCTTTACAGCAGATGCTTTGGTCTCCCACAGCTGCAACCACTTTATCTTTGCCTGTGACATACACACAAACATATGCTCTTTTTCTTCATTCCTTCAATTCCTTCCAGAAAATCACCCCTTTCAATTAACCTCTTCTCTCCTCTGACCTTTTGGGCTAAGATGTCTCCCTAATTATCCTTCTATAATTATTCTATATCTAATATTATTCCATATCATTCTATTATCTGATAATTATCATTATACAACCCAGTTAAGAACGAGATCAACACTAAGCCTTTCAGCCTGTCTTAAATAATGCTTGTAAAAGCACCACCATCATTTACTGCACTATATAAACAAAGACTAATAGTGAAGCACTCCAACTCTGGATGTAGAAATGGAAAAGATCTCAAGTAATCCCATTTATCTTCCCTACAGCACAGGACTATGGCATACTATCAAGGGACATATAAAACAGCTTGCTTTTACCCAGTCCTCTAGGTTAGCTTTTCCTAAGTGTACTCTTCGTTGACCTGAAATACTTAGGTATCTTGTGTGTTGCAACCGTAAAAGCCTGAAAATCTCTCACCATAAAACTCCGACCACAAAACATGACATTACAAAAAGAAATGCTTTTTCCCCCCACAGAATAAATCCAAAGTGCCCAATTCTCTACACGGTGTATGCTAGTGCCACACACTCACTCACTTTTAGCCTGTCTGCTGAACACAAAACACATTTAGGGAAGTGAAGCATGACGTGCTGACAACTAACAACTTTAAGCCATCCACAAAATCATGGGATTCAACACCAGAAACAGACAGTAGATCTTTCTTGAGAGTTGAGCACTGCGTTTGACATGGAAGAGAGTATAGAGGGGTAGAGGCTTAAACTTGGCCTGTCATACATCTTTCTCTTCAGCTTTGCCATTTAAGCGCCAGAAGCTTCAATAAATCTTCAGAAGCAGACAGTGACAAAAACAGCAAAAGTGCTGATAGAGATCCTGTTCATTACATGGAGAGTATCGTCCTGAAACATAAGGAGCTCTCCTGAAAAACAGTGTCCTCAACTATACATGACCAAGATGAGTGAGCTCCTGTAAAGCTGGTAGTTTAGCATATAAATTCCCAACCACTTCCAGAAAGGAATTCGTTAACTTTGAGATTTTATTTTTTTTCATTCAACTGTAGGAAAAAAAGCCCACAAAGACTGAACAAAACATATAATTAGGCAATGGAGACCATGAAATTCACTGCCAGAATTATGAACCATTACTGATCACATGCAGAGCCACTTGGGAAACACACCTAAAAGCCCAGGTCTCCTCCGTGATATACTCCTAGTCACTCAGTTGTACAAAGAAACTGTCAGCTTAATTCTCCATGTCTAGGCAGAGAAAAGAAACCAAACAGTCATCTTTTAAATAACAGGAGGGACTCAGCTATTCTGGTCATAAAAACACTATATACCTACCCAAAATGAATAGAAGTGATGGAGAGGTGGATAGCTGAGTAGGGTAATTTAGGCTTTTTAAAAATAAGCGAGATAGGAAGCATCAGGAGTTAAATTCCCAGGCTCATTAACTTCATGGCAGGCCTGTGAACAGCCCACCTTTCCACAGCTTTCTCCCTGTTACCACTGCACAGGAATACTCACACTCGCTCCTCATTTAAGCACACGCATCACAACGTGCCATTGCCACATGCCCTTTGGGTTAAAGGGCTGTTTCTCCTCTTCTATCGTCATGTCGAGGAGATGGCACTATGCGACTGATGGTAACAGCAGCCTTTCCATGGCTCACCTATAAACCTCTTTTGCAGTTTTATCTGTTAAAAGTACCTTTCTTTTTGCCTTGAAGTCCTCTTTGTGCAATGCCTAATAAAAGCAGTGAGGTGAGGGGTCCTCTGAACCATCACCACAGCGCCAGACCCCAACTGCTGATATTCAAATTCCATATAAATCTCACATTGCTTTGCCACTCACTTGAGTTTCTTGAAGGCTTCCCTGCCACCAGCCACATACTGCTCTCCGCTCTGAAGCTCCTCCAGCTGCCGGACACGATGCCCACCCCGGGGGGTATAGATGTTACGCACGGCTCCAAAGGGTGCCTTCACCCCACCCGTCACCTCTTTCAGGAAGACCTCGAAGTTGGACACTTTCTTCTCGTGGATGACAATGCGGCGTCCCGGGAAGAAGGCGTCCCCGTTGCGGTACACCAGCACGCTCTTCACCGCTGGCTGGGAGAGCCACGACCCCTTCACGCCAGGACTAGCCATGCTGGGCAGCTTCAGCCCTCCCGGGCAGCCCGAGCCGCCCCGCTGGCACCTGTTTGTTCAGGAGAGGGCTCCACACCTGTGCCACCGGAGCCCACCTCCGGGGAGGAGGAGGAGGGTGTCCGGCGACGCGGGGAGGGACCGCAGCCCCCCCGGGGCTCGTAGCACAGCTCTGCTCCGCCTTTCGAGAGCAGCTCCTCCTGGGCACCCAGCTCTGGCTGCTCCCTGGCACCTGGGGAGGTGAACACGGATTACCCCAACCCAAGGGAAGAGAGGGAAAAAAAAAAAAAAAAAAAAAAAAAATTCGCACGAAAGGAGATGGGACACAGCAGGAGATCGTTTTCCGTGCTTTGCCACCGCCCGCACCGAAAGGCAGTTTGTGACTGCTCCAGGCTCTCTTCCATATCCCTATTCCTGCGCTGGCTCTGAGAGATGCTTTCCCCACTGGAGACTCAGTTATTTGCTGCCTGATTTCACCTGTGGTTTGCTAGTAACATCTAACGATTACCACTTGTGTGCGCAGGATGGTCCATGTACGAAGCAAACGAACAACTAAAAAATCATACCTACCATGATTTATTCTGTTCTTACTTTCCTTCTTGGCGGTTATTAAAAATCTCACTTGAAAACTGGATTTTGCTCCAGGCTGCCTGTTGCTGTTTGCATTTGCTGTAATTCAGAAATAAAGCTGGGTGCTGATCTTGCAGGAAAAAGAAAAAAAAATCAGTGGGGTTGGAATTAGGCTCCTGGACTACACAAATTAATTGCATATATGTGTAGGAAATTGATTTTTTTTTAATGTGCTTACTGACATGATGCCCTCTGAACGTCTTTTTGGGATGATATGTAAATGTTAAGACACTGGCTTCTTTTCCCCCATCCTGCCATCTGAATTGGCAAAGTTTGCTAGTAACACAAAACTAAACTGTGCTCCCCCAGTATTTGGGTCAGTTTATTTAGCTGTTTGCATTCCTGATATATTTAAAAGCTTTTCAGTACTCCTGTCATTCCTGGGTTGAGAGAGTCTGCTGTAATGTGCTCGCTTAAGAATCTGGGATCTATCACAAGAGCTAATACCACTTTTGCTGAGCTGGCCCAAACCTGCAATTCCATCTGGATAATCCCAGTTCAGCAGACTCAGAGGTGACTTGCTCCACTAAACCAAGCTCAAATTCGAAATACACCATGAACAGTAGCCTGATAAATCAGGATCATATCCTTGGGCACAATTTATTTTTAACAAAAATACATCAACAGAACAAACCAGAAAAACAATAGGCAAAAATGTAAAATAACCCGTTTATGGTTCAAAGAACACAACGTGAAGTCAAATTGGTTACTGTTGCACTCT